TGCTGAACATCACTGTGCGCTCTATTCTTACTCGTATAAACACGTAATATAATCCTCCACATGAAGTCTCATTAAGCTCATTGCCTCAGTAATATGCAGTAGCAGAAAGTTCCATCAGTTAAGAGCACAGAGAACGTGATCCCACACTACCCCCGTACCCAGCTTTTTGGAGAACTTATTCTGCATGTTTGGCACCACTGTAAAGAGGATATTAAGTGTTGAGATGAAAACCTCCATCACTGATGGGCTGACAGCCCTTTCCAGGTAGTTCTGTGGAAAGAAGAAAAGATCAGGTGTATGGTATGCAATAAACACTAAAAACAGCAGCTTTCTTACGGCCTCCTGCCTGCCCAGAAAGTGAGATTTCTAAATCCAAAGAAATGGAGTAACAGTTCTACCAAAATGCCTGGCAGCATGTACACATGAGCACTTCAAAGCAACTAACACTCCCCTCTGCCAATGTTATGAGCTATGCTGCTAACTCTGCAAGACACTACATCAAACAAGAAACTTCTTCCTGATTCCAGCTGGCAACCAGTTAGGCCCTTACTGCCCATATTGCCCTGGAAGCAACTGTTTCACAGCTCAGATGGCTAATTCTCCAGCGTGGCGTACAACACAGGACATATGCTTATGTGCAGCTGACTTCAGGAACACTTTATACCTGTGCTTCAGCGTTTTATTGGGTAGTGGCAAACACAGGTGTGTAAGCTCTCTACAGAGTCCAGCCCTGAACTGTTTAGAACAGAACAACTCAACTCACTCTTGCAGAAGGTCACTGGATGATTTTCTCACAGTCCATTAATTTTTAACCAAGTTCAATGAAAAAGAAGCAGCAAACTGACTCCAGCTTTGCCAAACTAGACATGCACTTCCCTTCAGGGAGGACAACAGCAATGCCACTGCAGCTGAGCTGCCTCCCAAAAGATTGGTTAAGAAAATACAAACCAAAACATTTCCAAGCTCCCAGCAACTGCAAGAATCCACACACCTGAACCTGAGGCAAAGCACAAGCAAAAGTTACTCAACATTTGGAACCACCACCAGTGTCCCACTGTTTTGACAACTCTGCTCGAAGTGTCTTAGTGACAGGTCTGTGTGGAGCACTAAAGCACACATGACTCTCCACAGTTACTTTTTAAACTGTATCCCTGGCTTACTGAGACACTACTTATTGCCCTTGCTGGGTAGACTGGGCAGCCTTATCGGTACCTTCTGGAAAGAAGCAGGAAAATGAAAGTGTAGGTGTAAAATGCCGCTGCTTTCTGGGACACAGGCAAGAATGGAAAACAACAGTTCAGATACTCTTCATCTTCTGCAACATCCAGAGCTGCCATGGATTAGATAGCATGGCAGGCAGGCTATGGGGATTGCACAGTCTGAAGAAAGACACCGCCATCTACACGGAAGCTTTATGAATTTCTCCACTCTCTGAGACCACATGCCCCCATTTTGCATGAACTGTGTAATGCCATATTTGGCTCTGCAAAGGTGGCCAATGCCACAGCTGTACTTGGTTTACTCTACATGCTCTCTTCCCCACAAAACCAACTTGTGCAACCCATTCTTGATGTTTGAAAGCACCTTCCCAGATACCTGAGGAATAGATCAAGTTCAAAAGAAACCCTACCATAACCATGGGGATGCAGAGACTGTCACAAATCCTCAACAGGAACTCAGAGAAGTTGCTTAGTGTGTCCTTGCTCTCGGAGTCGGGGGCAGTAAAAGCATTCTCTTGGGCCATGAAGTCACTCTGGAATTCCACTGCTAACCTACAGACACACAGTGGATACCAGAGGAGAGAGGAATCCTCCTCACTCTATAAAGGAAGTCAGGAGATACTACATTTCCATCAAAACTTTCACCATTAAGGACCCCACAAACATTTGTTGAGTCGGAAATGCAGGAATCTGGCAATCACATGGAGTGATTAAGCAAAGCTATTAAAAGTCATCAATGTTGCACAACAGTACAATTTAGGAAAGGAAGACTCAGCTTCTCTGAAGAACATACCTGCTGTGGAAAGCCCTAGTGTGGCAAGACTAAAGGTTCTCAGCCATACCAGTGTGTCTGGAGCACAGTACAGGAAACCTCATGAAAATCAGCCATGGGACCATTCAGCTGTTCTGAAAGCCATGACAGAACCCAAGTGCCCTCTAACACTACCCCAAGACACTGGGTCAGTGTAGACAGGGCCACCTGCTTCTGACTGAATTATCTCAGTCAAGCCATGGAAGGCAAAACAACTAAGTTGGCCAGACTTCCTAACAGATTCACACACAAACTCATCTACCACCGCCTGCTGTGCAGCAAAGGCTGACAGATAGCTCTCATCCAGCAGCACAGGAAATGTTGCTGTCTATAAACCCACTGGCAGTTAACAGGCATGGGCAAATCCAAAGCCAGCATCTGAAGCAGATACACATTTGTTAAAGGGTTAATCCCCCCTGGCAGTGAGGCTGCATACCCCAGGACACAGGAATATGGTTTCACACATACCTTCCAACAGTTCTTACACTGTCGGTACTAGTGGCTAACTTTAAAGCAGTTCCTCAAAGGCCAAAGACATTAAATAAACAGGGAATAAAAGAGCTCAGAGAAATTTACTGGGAGACATAGAGATGTCACAAATTTTTCACTATCACTACATATTCCTCCTTCTGTTGTTTCAGTGACAAGTGCAATGCATTGAACTCGCCTGTGATATTTCAGTGGTTGGGTGGGCAGAGGAACTTGGTTACAAGGACAGAAGGATGGATGGACATGAACACACACCACTCACCTACACTGACTTGTCCTCACCTGCAAGCATTTCTGAAACCTTCCAGTGTGTTGAGCAAGAACTGGCCGTGTCTTTGTTGAACTCTGCTGAGATTTCTGTTTGCTGGGTGACTCTGAGACACTGAGAATAGGAGATCACCCTGTTAAAGGAGAGAAGTCTTTAAAATCTTATGTTCACTGACAGAGAATAACAGCATTTTTCTCTGATACCTGCAGAAGGAGGAACAACAGATTTCACACAACTGCTGTGCTCTCCCCAGGGAAAGCAGTTACAGAGCTTTTGTGCTCTTCCTAGGGAAGGCAGAGTTACAGAGCTACTAGTTCTGCACTGCCCTGTCTTTACAGTCTGTATTGCCTTGGTTTGATCTAATCTGAGTTTTTAACAGCTCAGCTAATGGAGCTTCAAACCCTTCAGGGAAAACCTGGTATTTTTAAAATTTTTTATTTCTTCCAATTACTCTTCAGACAACACTGAACAGTTCCTCTCCTCACTCAGCACTGAAATCTTAGTTCTCTAATTTGGCTCAGTTTTATAAGTAACTATGCATGTACTAGCTCTTGTTCCCACACAGCATCCTACTGAGTTCAGCAAGAAGCCAACTGCGGCATCAGAGTTAATCAATTGCCCAAACTGGAAGCACTTGGAACTCAAAATCTGCCTTTAAGCCTTAACCTGTTGTGGCGGTCTTCTTTGAATACTACCACAGGACAGCATGGCTACACATTGGTGTCTGGCAATTCAGAACTCCTTCTCCATTTGATGTTGAGATACCTTAGCAGAGGTACAATCATTTCTCTTTTTTTCTTTCCCTTTAAAGACAGTCTGGATGACCTTCCCATCTTCCTAAATTTCCTTCCTTTGAAGCTCCTTATTCTGAATGAAGCATCAAGTTTGGGTGTGTGCAAACAGCCTGACCAACATCTACCTATGGGTAGAAAGCAATTCTGTCTTCTCCAAGTAGAGAAGACAGACATCTGGTACAACAGAACTTGGGCCTAAAGATAGTTCATCAGGCATTTGGAACTCTGGTACTCCAGCAAGATGCTCTTGCCGCTACAGACATGCAATCTAAACCTACATGGCTCTAAGCCTAGAGCAAGAAGGCTCAGCCCTTGTCTTTTCACTAGCCACCTGCAATGGGGGCTCTCCACAGAAATGCTTAAGTCCCAGCAGCACATCACATTAATAACATATTCCAGGAACAGAAAAGGAATTGCAGTTCAGAGAGTGGCTAACAGCTCCCATACCGAGGGATCACAGTGCATATATAATGATCCTCTTGGTCTGAAGGCACAGCAAGAGATGCTCATTGCCAAAATCAAAAAAAATAAAAAAAAGATTGACTGACACAGCCTACAAGGTGGAGGCCTGAAGAAAGGGAATGACTTATAGTACTGGACACAGAAAGAGAGCAGCATACTCAAGAGGTGCCCCACTGATCTTCATCGATTTAGAAAGACAACATTCACCATCATCCATCTCCAGCTACTTCAAAGACAAAAACTGGTACCATCTTAAGGCATGAGGATCAAAAGAAACACTAGAGAACCCAAAAGCCATAGGTAAAGGGGATGAAACACATATACAACATCCACACTCCTACATACGGTAGGAGGATCATCCCTGTCCTGCTTAATCTTACCAACAAGCAACAACTTTCGACTTACTGCATGCCTCTTGCTACTCTGGGGTGAGCAAAGGTCAGCACATCGCTTCAGCACTGCCTCCAGCAGCTTCTGCAGCTCTTCATATGGGACTGGTGGGGAGCTCAGATGGTCCTTCCTGAACAAGCAGAGAGAAAGACAATATGCATGTTCCCATCAGCAAACAATTCCATCTGGGAAGGCCACACCAGCAGAAATAACTGCTCTTTTGACAATAATATGTTATTGCCACTTCCCTCCAGCACAGCATGCTAAGGTCACAATATCTGACCAGTGCCTTCCTCCACATGTGCATCCAAACACACCCTCACTGCATTCACTGTCTGCTCCCATCACAGTCAGGAAGCATATGACTGTACAGAGGTTTATGCTTGCTCTTATCTATCTGGATGGGGCACAGAGTGACAAAGCCACAGCAACCACAGTACAGGTCAGCCTGGGACACTATGTTTTTGTTGCAGTCACTTGCTGCCTACCCCAGCTCCATTGCCCTGGCAGCCTTTTGAGGCTGGTGGGAAGCTAGCTCTGCTGTACCCACGCCTGCCTCAGCCATAAGTCCCACTGCAGAACACTCACCCACACAACCACAGGGGAGTTGCAGAGACCAACATGGTATCAACGGATCTATCTCAAGAAAAGCCTGCAAATACTTTCGTGCCTACCTCAGGAAAGCTGCCACAGCTCTCACAGCCTCCCCTGCCACCTCCAGCACTGGGCAATTCACTGTCTCCATCAAAACATCAATGGCTTCTATACATACACCTCGGTTTGTGAATAGTTTGATTTCCACTGGTTGCCTGCAAAGAAGAAACAGAGTAAGCAAAGAAAATATTGTCAGAGTTAAGTAACTGTACTGCCCTCTCCTCAATTCCACAAGATGAACAGCTGAGCTGTGTGGTTCCAGCCACGCTTTTCAAGTATTCAGAGCCAGCTGCTCTCAAGGAGGAAGACTCAAACTTGATCAGGTGGAGGATTTGCTGCAAAGAGTGAACTTCAGCAGGTCTGGAGCACTACTATGATGAAAAAACCCTACAGCCTAGGTAACTGACTGCATCAACGAACACTGACATCAAAAGCACAAGAAAAATGGGCTTTGCAAAATACAGTGATCTCTCTGCCCAGGACTTTATGCTGAGGCCATCTGCTCTGGCATTTGCAGGTTCATTTGGCAAACCATTTTTCCAAGTCAACAAGCAAACACCACCATCCTAGAACAAGGACAATGCCATGAGAATAGCTTCTCTCACAGTCCCATAGCACTTCTAATGTTGCCAGGACAGAGACTTCCATGAACTTGAAAAGTAATCAGGAAAACAAACACAATCCAACTGTTTTGACAGTTCTTGACAGTGAGCATTTTGGTTGTCTGATCATCTTGCAGCCCAGCACCTTTGAACATTCAGCACAAAAGCATGGAGGGATGACAAGCCATTAATCTCAATATTGGACAGAGCTGTGTAAATGGCAAACTGATCATTTTGACAAGTCAGGTACAGTCAGGAAGGCAGGGGAAGGAACACAGCTACGTGCAGACAAGAGACACTAACAACCTGCCAGAGGGCACCTACAAAGTGAAAAAAAAAACCAACACAGCATGACATGAGCAAAATTTGGGAGGCAAAAGGATTCCCTGTTACTCAGTTTTCACAGCCTTCCAGTATCTGAAGGGGGCCTACAAGGATGCTGGAGAGGTACACTTCATCAGGGACCACAGCCATAGGACAAGGGGCAATGGGTTTAAACTAAAACAGGGGAAATTCAGGCTAGATGTAAGGAAGAAGTTCCTTACTGTGAGGGTGGTGAGGCACTGGAAAAGGTTGCCCAGAGAAGCTGTGGCTACCCCATCCCTGGCAGTGTTCAAGGCCAGGCTGGACAGGGCTTTGAGCAACCTGGTCTAGTGTGAGGTGTCCCTGCCTATGGCAGGGGGTTGGAACTAGATGATCTTAAGGTCCTTTCCAACCCAAATCATTCTATGATTCTATGCATGACCAAAGCAAGCCAGGGGCAGCACCTTCCTTCCATGGGAGAGGAAAGTAAACTTAAGTAGGAATTACACTGCTAGCCCAGCTAAAAGGCAAAAAGCGAGCAGAGGCAAAACCACTCTTTTTAGTTATTCAGTGGGATGAAACCCAGCTTGGCAGTCACATCATGTTTTGCTATGAAAAAAAGCTGTGAGGTGGGCAAGGCAAAGAACTCGAGCACCAGGAGCATCCCCTGGGCCAAGCCATAAATGATGTGCTAAACTTCCAAAATGTTTCTACTTATGCTGTAATTCTATTAATCCTTTGTAGTTCCTTTCTTTAGTAGCTGACCTTATGAAGTAAAACACATCAGGGAAAAAAGTCCTCAATGACTCATGCAGGGAGGAAGGGATGGAGGAGTCTTTGCTGACTCACTCAAAAGGCACAAACCCACTTGCAATATGGTGCACTATGATGCCTTTGGGGCCTGGGAGAAAAGCCTGAAGGACAGCACTCTCGCAGCTTCCTGCAACCTCTCATCTTTGGGTCCCAAACTGTGCTGGCCACTCTGGTTGTGCTGGGAGAGACAAGGGGAAGTTACCCATCATGCCTGACATACTGCCAAGGGGAGCAGCATGTCCTGTTTGGACAACACCAAAGTATGGGGCTCACTTACCCAAGAGAATTCAGCTGCAAAGAAAAGCTTCCAGGATGAGATCTCTTTCCCCACTATGAGATAGCTTTAAATAAAACATAATTTCTAAGGCAAAGCTCAGAGAAATAGAACGGGTGTGCTAGAAAATGAGAGTAATTGCACAGAGTGTTCTCTTTGTTTTACAAGCACAAATGCTGTAATTAGTGTTTCCCACATCCTGGTTTCTCTTTTTGACAGATCCCACACTGGCATCATCACACTGTTCTAGCACTGCTGCTTTTCCTTCTCTTTACCCTGCCACTTGCTACAAAATCGACTGTGACATTTCAAAAATTCAGCTCAAGGGCTCTCTTGGGGGAACTAAGTGGCAAAAACAAGACTCTTTCACTAGCATGACAGGACAGGAACAAGATCATAGAAGCAAGAACAGGAAGCATATAAGAAAAACAAGCTAGGGCATGTTATTCCTTAGCAGAAAACATGAGGAAAAAAGTGACAGAAGACATTAATATTTCAGCCTAGAATTTGTTTTTGCTGTTTGAATTTAGCTCAGATGATGATACAAGATGAGAAGCCATGGAATTCATATGCCTTGTTTTGTCACAGAGATGCACTAAGCAGGAACCGGCCTGCTCACATACACCTGGACCTTCGTCTCCTTCCTTCCTGCGCTATGTATAGCTGAAAGATCTCACATCCCAGATTGGTAAGGAAGCATGAAGAGGCAGATTTCCTTGTGGATGCATACACAAAGAGGACAAGCTGGGAGGTTCAGAAACTACCATCAGGCCCTTCTTCACAAGAATAAAGGCGATGCATTTGTTCAGCAACATCTTTTAAACGTAAAGGCTCTGGTGGTGTAGATATTTAGCCTTGGACGAAAACCTTAAAAATTAAAAGGAACACCTTAAAAATTAAAAGGCCTCCATTTTGGGGCACCGAACTGTGCTCGTACAAGCCTGACGGGAGTACTCCCTTACCGCTTCAGGATTTCAGTGAAGAGCAGGAGCCCTTGCTTGTGCAACTCCACATTGTTCAGCTGCAGGACATCTTGAAGACTCCTCATCAGAGATTCAATGCCTGCACATGTTCAAGAGAAGTCACAGAGAGGGCTTTTAACACCCCAAATCCCAGGATGGAAGCAAAATTAAGTTATAATAGGAAGATTTGAACAATTATTCTTCTGAACCACTGACAGAAACAACTGCCCCAAACTGCTGAGTGTTCACTCACCTCCCTGGTAATAGGCCCCAACTTCCACTACTGGAGGTAAGTCCAAAAGAACAGAAGGAATTTAACCTTTCTTCCTAAATCTACTTATAGTATGTTCACCAAAATGCTTAATAGTAACTCAGGTAGTGCCAGTCATGATAACTGGTTATTATAACAAGTGCATGCCCATCAGGAACTCATTAGGACAGTTCAAAGCTATGTTGAAATACGAGCTATGTTGGACATCACAAACATGTCTGATAGGCACTCGTTTCCAATCCTTTATCCATCCTGACTGGAAACTGTGATTTTGTGTAAAGCACTGAAATTCAGCTAGAGGCACAACAAATGCCCACAGTATTACTGCAGTCCCCCTGTCAGAAAGGTTGATGACTCACCATAGACTGTGTGACACTTTGAGAAGAAAAGGCGCTCTTCAGTGAGGAGGAGCAGGCAGCAATACACTGACCAGATGAGAATTTCACTGTTGCACAAGAGACACTCAAACAGGAATTCTGCAAACACACAGACACATGGGCAAATAAGGTCGCCCTGGTAAGAGGCAGTCTGCCTACAGCCTGGCACAGCTGCTCCCAGAACAGAGCAAAGGGAGGAGGAGGAAACACATAAGCATAGCAACAGCCACAGGGAAAACGGGTGTATTCTGAAATGGCAGGAATGAAGAGTGGAGTGGAAGCTGAGGGGTATTCTAGCCTTCAAAGCAAGGTGACTGGAGAGCAGAGTCCTACAGGCAGGCATCTTCCTAGCACAAACTCAGCAGGCAGGAGCTGAACTGTGGCTCTAGCCTTTGGCACAAATGAGAAGCCACAAAGCAAGCTTTACCACAGATGCAGTGATCTTTTTTTTTCCTCAGAACTTTTACACCTCCTAAAGAATTTGTAAGATGAAAGCATTTCTGTCTTTTGGGATTACAAAGAAATAATAAACTGCATTCTAAAGCTAAATCCTAGACTGCATTCTGTATAAATTTACAGTACTTAGTGGGATACGATGGAACCCCAGCCTGTCTTGGCTTGTATCTAAGGTCCTGCAAGAAGGACCTTAACCTCAAGGGCTCATCAAATTCTTGTTGTGGAAACTCCATTCTGCCTGTTGGCAGCAGTTTCTATATTTTCAGTTGAAAATTTACTCTCCCCTTCTAACCCTAAATCACATTAGCCATTTTTACTGGTATAAAATGGTTACCACCACACTATGCCATCAGAGGATTTCATGGACCCGGACTGATTCCTAAAACAAACAGCCAAGGAGTACTTGATATTAGCAGATGAACAATAAGATGCTACTGCATTTCTTCACCTGGGACATCAGCATGGATAAAAGCAGGAGCATATCTGCTGGGAGAGTGAACCAGCACTGCAGCCATACAGTGAGAACTTGCTGCCTGTAACATCTCATCTCTGGTCAACAAAAGCTGTTGGGAAACAAAAGTCAAAATGAGAGAGGAAATCAACTATGCAGCTATGAGTAAGAAACAGTTTCCTCTACATTTTAAAACATAAAACATAAATTAAGATCTCTCCTTTGGTATGTGTTTCTCAGATTAAACTTGCTAAGGCAAAATCAAACACTGGACCAAATACGTTCCAAAAATGTAAAATGAGAACCACAACAGAGAAGATTATGAGCAAGAATAGCTCTGCCTCCATGCTTAGTCATGCTGGCACTGCCAGTGCTGTATCAGACCTCAAGTGTGAGTAAAATTTGCCCCCTCCAGGACGCAGGAATGTACAATGAAACGGGGTGTCCCCATTTCCACTGTAGCCTCTATTGCTGGTGTTGGCAACATCACACTCAAATGCCTCAGATAAAGATTCAATACAGGACAGAAAATTCTTCACTGATAATTCACTACTACTTCAGCAATCACCTTTTTGAGAACAAGTGGCAGTGGATTTTCCCTTTCTAAAGGGTCAGGATTCTCAGACCCCTCCTCTGGCTTTGAATTATTCATAAGAATAGATACAAAATGGTCAGATTTCAGCAGCTCCTTTAGCAAACCTGCAGAAAGGGGAGAAAGAGTGAGCACCATACTGGGCATAGCAAGGATTACATAAACACAGGAGTATTTACAGCTTAAGACTTGTTGCCAACTGTGTCCCCTTTCCTGCACTCCTAACAAAGGTGCTCACTTCCAGTTTAGTAAGCTGCTTCTTACTGTGTCCCCAGATACTGCCAGGAGCCCCATGTCTCACAAGCCCTTGTTGCTAATGCTTTTTTCTGGGTCTGGTCTGCTCCCTGTCCCTTCTTGGAGACCTGCATGAGCACTGGTACACTGTCTCAGGAGCACTCTACTCGCAACATCTTCTGTGCTCCAGGACCCATCCATGTGTTTCTTGGGAGAGCTCTTAACCTGCATTCTTCTCCAAGCTACAGTCAGTGACCCAACAACAACTAGACATTTTCCCTGAAATACTTCCTAGAGAACTGGCATTTATCTTCCCCTTCTACTTTCACAGGCTCTTTCTGAAACAGCTGTGTTTACCTAAAGGATATCAACACACACAAAAGCCCCCAGTATAAAAAGTATGGAGCACTGCTATAGGTACTGATGCAAATCATCAGTACATGTCAGTACAAATTCACAAGGGGTGTTGCCTGAGCTATAGAATTCCACTTTCAAAGGAAATCATTCTCCATTTATAGTAGCTGAGTAGATGAGCTGAGGAGCAATCCAGTTCCTGCTTACCTCCTACAAGAAAACTGAATTCCCTGGATGGTTTACAAACAAGCAATGCCAGAAAGGCTGAAATTGTGCTCCCCAGCAACAGTTGATAGGTGCAGTTGGAAGCATAAATGCAAGAAAGCACCACTTCCACATTAGCTTTCTAACCTAAACATGATGCCTCACATCTGAAGACTGTATTTGTTAAGACTCCTTCCACTGCTCTACAAAGCCCACCTGCCTGTGTACATTGTTTGTATTCAGAAACTTTGAGGGATGGGCTGTTCCTAGGATGAAACATCAAACTGAGACAGGCCAGGCCACAGTGCATGCTCTGAAAAGACTCTGAAAACTAGTCAGTGCTAGGCAAATGTGGGGCTCGAGGGACAATGGGGGAGTTCAGCAGTAGGTCTGGTCTCTTTGATTGCTGTGGAGTAACAGAAAGGATTGACTGCTTCAGACAAGCAGCAAAAAACTCCTCTTGGGAACAACCCACAACACAGCATCTAAATCAGCTAAAGATTTCTTCCTCATCCTAAGCCTTCCCTTGCACCTTGCAGTTTCTCTCAGCAATGCCTTACCCAAACAATTTATCTGCAGCTCCTTTGTCTGCGCACACCCCAAGGTATTCAGGAAAAGATCACAGAGCCTTTCTTCAAAGTGGGCTGAGAGCCGTTCTGTGCCAACAGGGGAGGAGTACAGCTTGCCATACAGGTAGCAGACAGCAGCCTTTATGCCCTCATTTGGGTATGCCAAACCCATCAGCAGATGATCCACTAAATTACCTAGTGTTAGGAACAGAAAGGGCGAATACTCACAGCAATGAACTGACTTCTTAAAAGCACCCACCTGTTTCTCTTGAAAACTTGCAAAAGCCCACTGGACAGACTGGTGTGTGCAGATTAATTAATGCCACAATTAAGTGATATGCTCCCCACGATCTGTCCCTCTGAGCAGAAGTATAGTAATAAATTATTAGAGGAGCTTGCTGTTCACAATGTGAGTATCCATCATCCCAGGTACTCCCACAAACAGTTAAGCTTTGCTCACCAGACTCCCAGGAGCTGGATCAAGGAAAGAAAAACTAAATATATGTTGCCTGTGAAGCAGACCCACAAAGCCCAGTTCATAGAGGTTGGTTTTGCCAGGCTGGCTAAGAGCACAGTGACAAGCCTGCTGTGAATGTATTGACCTGCAACCCAGGAGACCTGAACACCACTCTGACATTTGGACAGGCTTCTTGTGTAACCTTCATGAATTCACACGGGTTTCATGCATGCATGTGTATTAGGGCTGTGAGTATTACTCTGCCGTGGTGCATGACTCACTGTGCTCTACCACCAGTATATCAGCAAAGCCTGGGACAGCATCTGCCAGCTTGCCCAAGAGAGTGAATGTGGGCAGGCTGCCTCTCATGGTAGTTGCTTTGCACAGCTGTAGAGGAGACAGAGAAAAAAACATTTCACTTGTGAGGCCACAGTCCAAAGACATAAATGCACCCAAACCTGTGAGCTCTTGGTGATGCATAGTCCCCCAGAATAGGATCTTTTCCTAAGCTGGGTCCTCTTCACCTCTTAGGGTAAGCCACAGGAAAACCCCGAACACACCACTAAGTCTCTAAAATATCTTTTAGTTAATCCAAGAAATCTCTTGCTTGTATCCTTTTCCTCCTCTCCCCTCCAGTTCTTACATAAGCAGATGAACCACTTTTGCTACTTCACAACTTTTTGTACCCCTTAGGACCATCACAAACTTAGGAATGAAGACAGCAAGAGCCCATGGCACAGGTTGGTAAAGGTCCTCATATCACTGAAATAGTAAGACAGGAAAAGAAGAATCTGAGGAAGCCACACAGCTTCCAAGAGCATCATGAAGTCACATGGCTGCAAAGTATAACAGGAACAACAGGACAACTTCCAGAGAAAACACCAACATGGTCAAAATCACAGCAGGGGAGCTTGGCACTAGGACATTCCACTGCAGGGAAGGTTGCATCCCAGTGCAGCAGCTGCAGCCTTGCAAGGCCACTCATTCCCATCTCCTCAACCTCTGGAGGACTGAAAAGGAAGGGCAGGGAATTCATCTTCACTGACCTCTTTCTGGCTTTCATCCAAAACGCAGTGAAAGTACTGTTCTGACTTCAGCTCCACTACAAACTGCACCAGAACTAGGCAGAAGAACAGGATCAGTAATTCACACACAAGAGCACTCACAATCCATCTTCCACAGGGCTTTAGCAGACCAGTGAGCAAAGAACTTAGACATTAAATGAGCACAGAGGGAGAACAGGGTACTGCCATCGCTATTGCTTCTGATAGCCCAGCCCAAGCTCCCTGCAGCAACATTCCAGCAGTCCTGTTCCAGCTGCACTACAAACCATCCATGGAAATGAACTGCAAGTGACAAACTGAACATCAGGACACCAAGTAAATGTAAGGAACTAGAAAGGGAAGAAAACAAAGCCCCAGCTTAAAAGCATTAAAAAAACCCCAAAACTGGTAATTGAATAGAGTAGGCTTCCTACAGTGTGAAAACTAAAAACATCACTTTCCAAAAAGGATATCAGAACTGAAAGTGCTAAGTATCCTTAGATGCAGACTGAGAGCTCCTCCTCCGGTTGCTACTGCCCCTGAAGCAACAGTGCAGTCTATCAGCCATTCCTCACCACTCCACTTATACCTTGCCAGAAAGCAAAGCTCCAATCATCTTCGTGGTACTGTTCACCTCCTCAGCCTCAAGAAAAGGCTGTTATTCTTGGTTAACTGCAACTTCAAGAAGTCTGCCTGATCTGCCCTAGTAAGAGGAATCAACAAGAAACTGTTTACCAGGCGCTACCAGGCCTGGGGTTTCCCTAACTAAATCACAAGGGAACTGCGGATGCTGGCAGGCTGCCTCTGCCTGCACACATATACCGGTTTGGGAAGCAAAGTTCCTCTTCTGGTGTTTTTA